TCAAGAGCCCCCTGTGGCAGCTGTTTCCCCTACATGAATGAATCCACACATATACCCTGAGTCATCTCCTAATCTTCCTTGTAGTAATCTATCTGAGCTGATTTCCTTCAGATTCACACTGCAGAGCTTTGTTAAACCCTGCAGCATTTCTTATGGTATCGTTCTGCAGTTTCATCAAGTTTCCAAACCCTTTAATAGATACAGACACCAGGGTGTTGACAGTCCTTCAATTCCAGTATATCAAACACTTTTGTAAGGTAAAATTAATGTCCTTACTTCTGCTAATTGTTTTTGATATACCCAAAGGTCACGTCAAGCTTCCTTACAATTGGTTGTCTTGATAACAAACAGCTGAAAGTCTCAAGGAAACCCAAACTCATACCCAGACAGAACTTTGAGAAATTTCCTGTATACGGATACACAGCATAGAGATCAGTTCACAGAGGAGACAAGTCATTTTGATCAAGGGCATTTCTAAGAAGCAAATGGCTTGCATACAGTTGATACACAGTGAGGACAGGGATAAAGCATCCTCCTGGATGAGTTTTGTGGGTTCAGGCTGGTTACTAGAGTCTTAGAAAAACAATAGTTGACAGTATTTATATTCTTTTTATTGATTACATTGTTCATCAAGAAGCAGATGCAATGAGTTTGGCTAAAATTCCTTTTCCTGCCCAGCAGTGGGCAACTCAATGGGACTTCATTTTGACATTAAAGCAAATGACATTTTGCTTTTATGGCTATAACTGATTTACAATGAAATAGCACATCTACTCAGTGACAAGTGTTGTGTGGGAAGCACCGAGGAGGTACTTCATCATCGAGTGGAAGCTCCTCATATCCCTTGCTTTTCACGGTACTTGAAATCCCAGCAACTGCCATTTCTTTCATACGCAAAAAGAGCAGTATTGCCTCAGGCTGCAGCTTTATGGAGCTAATTTCTGCATCCAGGTCTCCCCTCATCAATCCACCGATACCTGTGGAGCAGGAGAGCCGCTGTGACTGCATCCCAGCTCTGGCTCCTTCAATGCCTGAGTTTTAAAAGATGTAATCAGAAGTTAGGAGCCTTCCACTTAGCTTCCCAGCAGTGGGCAGTGGGATGTGACTGCTGCCTGGGACAAGAGAGGAGACAAGGTTGCTGTTTGAGGATGTGTCAGGTCCAGCAGCTGGGTTGTGCTTCCATATAAAACCCTAACTTGCAGGCCTATCTGCAGTACACCAGGGTCCTCTGTTGGCTTGGGTGGCCTACAGACACTTGCACTTGCCCTGGAAGGGCAGTAATGACATTTGCCTCTGGCAAACCACGGGTCCATCCATGGCCACAGATCCTACAGTGAACCAGGCTGAGACTGACTTGGGATCCTGCGCCTCCCAGTCTTCCCTCTCTCACGGAAGGTTAAGAAGCACAACTGGATTTTCTACCTCATTTACCCTTGGTTCCCACGACGGGTAACACTCAAATCTTCAGAGAACTCAAAGAGGGCAGTCAGAGCGATATGGTGTGAAACACACCTTCAGGATGTATGAAGGTTCTCCTACATCAGACAACTGCAGCTTCATCTGGTTGTTCCCTGTCACACTCATGACTCGCCGTATGGCTTTTCCTCTGCAGAGCAGGTGACAGGGTCACGTGTGGAATGAGAAACACGAGCAATACTTCAGTAACACCCTCCTCTTGTGCTGCTTCCTCCTGAGCCCTCACTCGCTGCGCCAGATGCGTGGTACCAGGGAGCTCAGGGCTGGTGCAGAATTGCGAAGGTTTGGTTTTGCTGCTTCGGTTGACATTTAACTATTAACCTGCTTTGTGGAGACTGAAGTCAAAGGTGCTGTTTGTGGGAAGTGATGTGTGGATGGGAGAAAGTGTAGGAGTAGTAGGTGTCATGCAGTAAGAGCTGTGTGATGGTGTTTACCCATTTTAACCTTGATTTTCTTAAGGACAGAGCCCTTCTGGAGTCCCTCGCAGCCATGCAAGGCTCCACGCACCCGTGCATGGCTGACCGTGGGTGCTAAGTACTCCTGGGCCTGGCTAGCAGGAGACTGTCTGGCCGTGGAGGCACTGGATAACTGCGTGACTGGGCTTAAAAGCCTGCCAAATGTGAGAGCACAGACGGGGAGTGGGTGGAAACCCTCTGGCTCCATTCATAGCCCATACAGGCTGACACCATGGCACCATCTGAAGCTGACCTCCAAACAAGCCTGGAGATATCTCACCCTGCTGAGGTGAGACTTGCCTGGATCTTCTACCTTCAGTGAGCATCAAAGGCTCTCTGTCAGGGAACGGGCAGTGCCCCAGGCACATGTGAGCAATGGGAGGATGAATTACTTGGCTCAGCTCAGCCCTGGGGCTTATCACTGCATTGGGAACGCCCTGCAGCCCCCCAGCTCTCAATTTTCCCGCTCTCGAAGGCACCTGTCAACACTGGCACAAGTGGGCTGCATAAGAACATGCCAAGTACACTGGCATTGTTGTAGTAACAGGACCCAGCTCTTAGCTGCTTTTCGTTCACCCATAACTCTCAGTGTTCCTCCCTGGGAGGATGTTGAGGAGGAGGACGAAGTGAGTTTCCTGTGGACATGCAGGAAATCAGCAGCACAACACATGGGACTGAAAAGCAGGTGGAAAAGGAAAATGCCAAACTTTCCTAAGCCTGAAACATTTAGTCTGGCTTTGCTCTGGCTTTAGCCTGGAGTACTACCCAGGTCAGCTCTGGGTGCTGAAGTGGGCCCGTACAGATTAGCAATGTCCTCCCACTACTGCCAGTCAGAGGAGCTCACCTTCAAGCCCACTGCCAGCAGGTGCACAGGTTTGCTTTTCCAATGGGCCCTGGGGCTCACCTGGGGCTGGGGAGGGCCCTGCAGCCCAGGGTCTCCCGCGGACACAACAGAGTGTGAGGGGCAAGGGTGGGAAAAGAGGCTCTCAGGCAGGGTGATGAAGGACTCAGAGACATGTAGCTAAAGCAGGGCTGTGCGGCCAGTGGTAGATGGACCCAGAGAATGGGAATATGGTGGAGAGGGCCAGGGACATCCTCTCCAAAAGGCCTATAGGCTGCCACCTCTAAATCCCGAGGGTGAAAGTTATTCAGGCTCTCAAGATGCTTATGAAAAAGACACTTCTGTGTTTGCGATTATTTGACCCAGCAGCCCTGGAGCCGAGGAGATACCGAAATGAAAGAGGGTGTCTGGATGTGGGTCTGGGCCTCCTGGGGGGGGCTGCTGCTCCCCAGTGCACTCCAACTGGCACGTGACTACCACCTGCATATGGGTCTGCACAGCCGGGGCTTGGGGTCTTGGGGTCTTTTGCCCGAGCTAGGGCAGAAGACAAATCATCCATCCCACCTTCACCTCAGATTCCCCCACTGGGAAGCTGCACTTCCCTGCCTGAACTAGGGGGACTCATAGGAAACTCCTGGGGCAGTACGAGGACAGAGACACAGGCTCTTTCCCCTGGTGCTTTCCCAAGCACAATTTGTAGCTTTGCAATGCTCCTCCCTGGGCTGGACAGGCAGTCTCTGCGCTGGTGTTAGCAGACCCCCTGCTCACCCAGTCACGGTGACAACCCATCATGAGCACAGGGCTGGGAACCTCCTGCCAGACTGTGGAGGGGAGATGTTTTCTTGCTTGCTCCCTCTATTTCTGCCTGGTTTCTTTCCCACAGGTCGTCTTCTGCCCAACATCCAGTGCCTTCCCCTTTCTCCATGGGATGGCCAAGGTGATGGGAAATGCCCCTGGGAGAGCCAGCAGGACAGGACAGGGCACCTGGCTGCCACAAAAAGCAGCAGCTGCCAGTCCTTCGCACACAGAGGAAACATGCACAGGTCCTGTGGTGCGTCTTCTGAGAGGAAACGGCTTTGCCTTTGTGCTTGGTAAGAAACCTTCCACCCCTACAGGGGAGAGCACTGCGGGCAGCCAAGGTGAAAGTCTTCAGCATCCATGGGGAAGCTGAGGTTGTCCTGTGTGCTCCGTAAGCAGCCACGTGCCAGGGCTGCCAGAGGAGCATCCTGTGAAACCTGCTCAAGGGTTGAGGTGCTGCATGGGGCAGCCCCAGTTAGAGGAGGTAGACAGTGCTGTTATTGTGGATGTAGCCTCCCACATGCTCTCATAGCACCAGGGAATCTCGCACGCCGGTCTGATCTATGAAATGAGCAGGGGGAAACTGGGTTTGCTGGGTGAGGAAGGGAGCTAAAGAGACCAGGACTGCACCACTGGCATGGCCAGGTCCTGCCCATGGCTCTGCTCAGGGCAGAGGATGGTCCTTCAAAGTGTCCTCGCCCAGTGACTGGGGAGATGCCAAACACAGGCCGTGGCAATGCTGGCACATTGCATTGGCCTGGCTCTGAGGCAACTTGGCACAGAGCAGTCCACGTCCTTGCTGTTCAAGGCTATCACCCTGATAAGCAGGGACACCTTGTCCAAACTGCCTGCTGGGGACGGCCAGCTCATGCCAGTTTCCGGACGGTGCCAGGGAGCTGCTGGCAAGGGCTGGCTGGCCCGGGCAGAGCCATGCTGGGAACACCTGAACACTTTCTGACAGGGACAGTCCCGTGCCAGTGATGGGGGAAGTCCCGGAAAGAACCCCATTTGCTAGTAGAGCTGGTGCCCTGGCGAGCTCAGGGCTGATGCTCTGCCAGCAGGAGACCTCCGCGGGCTGCCTCATGCTGCGGAGCACGGGGAGGTCCTGGCTGGAGGCCCTGGAGGCATCACCAGCGATGGCCAGGGTTACCAGCGCTCCTGGCAGGCTGAGGAGCACCAGTCCTCCTGCGTGCTAATGGGCTGCACGCACCTTTCCAAGATTTCCAAGTACAGCAGCGAACACCATGCAGAAAACTGCTGAGGAGAAAGGGATGGCCCTTAACCAGGGGGAAGTGTCAGCAGGGAGTGCCCCCCCAAGTCAGCCTGCAACCCTCATCAGAGCAATAGTGCTCCCCAAAACCCTCTGTCCCAGCCGGGTGTCTGCCTGCCGGCTATCCTGGGCCCGGGGTGCCAGAGGTCTGCATGCCGGCATGCTGCTGGCTGTGCTGCCCACCCCACGGCAGCAGCATGGGGGAAATGCCAAGCATGAATGTCAGCCTTGGGACGCCTACGGCATGTTTCCTTTCCACCAGCAGACAGGATGTAAGCTGTCATGGGTGTTAATTAGCCTTCGCTGAGACCTGCAATGTGATGCTCCTGATTTTCGTCAGCGTATCTCTCAGTTTGATACAGCCTCAGAGAAGCCTCTATATCTTCTCAGACCAGTCTTTTGATGGGGCCACAGCACGGAAGCGCCCATCCCTCTAAGGTCTTTTACAAGCTCTTTTTTCTAGGTACAACACTTAAAAAACCCCTGCAGAATCCTGTATTCTAAAATAATCCTGTGAGCGTCTCAGAGTGCTGGCCGTTTCGGGATGAAGTTTGTCCAGATGTTTGCAGTGCTTCTGGACTCAGCTAAGTCCTAGATGTGTGGCAACATTGTGCTTGCCCCTGCACATTTCTTGTGGCACATAGATAGGAATAGCAGTGTGTATGCAGAAAAGTCAGGAAAACCTTTTCTGGCTTGCCTGAGAATTAATTTAGAAATGAAATGAAATTATTACCTCTTTAGAGATAAGCTGGTTACAACTGAAGCTTGGGCACATAATAAAAGTTTTACTGCTTAGAATCATAGAATTATAGAATCGCTAAGGTTGGAAGGGACCTTTAAGATCATCAAGTCCAACCATCAACCTACCCTGACAAAACCACCTCTCAACCATGTCTCTAAGCATCACATCTACCCTTTTTTTAAACACCTCCAAGGATGGCAAATCCACCACCTCCCTGGGCAGCCTATTCCAATGTCTAATAACCCTTTAAGTGAAAAAATGTTTCCTAATATCCAATCTAAATCTCCCCTGACATAACTTGAATCCATTTCCTCTTGTCCTATGACTTTTCACCAGGGAGAAGAGGTCAGCCCCCACCTCTCTACAACCCTCTTTCAGGTAGTTGTAGAGGATGATAAGGTCTCCCTCCCCTCATCCTCCTCTTCTCCAGGATAAACAACCCCAGTTCCCTCAGTCGTTCCTCATAGGGCTTGTCCTCCAGACCCCTCACCAGCTTTGTAGCCCTTCTCTGGACACGCTCCAACACCTCAATGTCCTTCTTGTAGTGAGGGGCCCAAAACTGAACACAGTACTCAAGGTGGGTCCTCACCAGTGCCTTCAAAGAAGGTGCGTTGGTGGAAGCACAGACTCTGCCCCCTGTGGAATAACTGTACAGTTCAGCATCTGAACTGCCCAGCAACTGGATGCTGCTTGTCACTGCCCACCCGATGAGCGTCCTGCTCCCACCAGTTTGCAGGTGAAACAGAGCAAGAGAGTGCTCCCAGGTTTTCTCCAGAGGAAAATCTTCAGCTTAGTTCAAGCCCCACCACTCAGCACCATAATATAGAAGTAGTAGACTTTGGCCCCAGAGCTGTGAGCTCCCACCCACCAGCCTTTGCTGCCGACCATAACTTCCAGAGAATGGTGACAAGTAGGAGCAGGGCAGTAACACATGAAGTCCCTTCAGTCATTTTAAAGCTGCATGGATGCCTTGATGCATCTACATTTGGGGACAACCTGGACACTTCTCTCGTCATGCTAGCAGCATGGGCTCTTCAGGGTGTCCTGCTGCAGGCTAAACCCTGTACGGGACATGCCTCAGCTCCCCATTCACCCCATCAAATTCACCTGATCATAGCCCCCAGTGACTGGTGTTGGAGCCACATGTATGTGTGTGATGACTTCGGTCAGTGGCAGGGCGATACTGCTTGAGAACTTGCTTAGCTTTCCTGGTGTGAAAACCTGGGTCTTGGTGTTTGTTGAACAAACTTGGATTGCAACTTTCATGAGACTGTAATTTATCAAAGGCACAAAAGCGAGTCATGCAGGCCAAGCTTCTAGAGCTCACATGAAAACAGGTAGAATGAAAGTTTTAAGGTCTCTACCAACATCTATGACATATTTTTCCCATTTAGAAGCTTTTTAGTTTGGGTGATATTTTTAATTTTGGTTTTTTCCAACAAAACGTAGTATTTCCAAAGAAAGCAGACAGCTTCTATAATAATGTCAGCCAACCTCTGAGTTTCTCATCAGAACAGTTTCTATGAATTGTTTTGAACCAACCCGCACAAGAAGCTGAATATGTTACTTATGTGTTTATAAATAGGCCTGTTTTCACAAAATTCTTTCTCAAGTAAACTGCTCTCAATTAATATGAAGTACTTTCACTTACTACTTGCATTATAACAAAAGAGGGATCCCTGCATGGATTAGAGTCCTGTTGTGCTAACAGTTAATGAAGGGACAAGTCTTACTCTGAAAAACCTCGTCTTCTGGGTTTGATGCAGGTCTCTGCAGTTCCTGACTATATCTTATGCCTACCTCTGAATCAATCAGCCCCATCGCTCTGTTGAGTGCCTCGTGATGTTAACTACTCCTTTCCTCGCCATATCCCTATGAGGAAAGGCAGCATTATTAACCCCGTGGTACAGATGGGGACTTGTGGTGCAGAGAGGTGAAATGTCACACTGAAGATGATGCAGGTCGTCTGGACCAGAGGCGGGGGGGGTGGGGTGTGGATGCCCACTTTTCCCTTGAAAGACAGTACCCTACTCACTATGCTTCCATACAGCTGGTGCTATGATGGTATTATTTTTTTACTCGTTATTTTCCCATCAGTCAGCCTATGAAAGAAAACTCGCAGTACTATTATCAGCTGGTTAAACAAGGGAGCATTTAGCCAGTATCAGCACACAAAGGATGAAAAATTGAAGAAGAGAGTAAAAGTGAATGAAGAGAAAAAGTGAAGGGCAGGAGCAGCAGGATTGTCAAGAAGTAGTAGGAGGGTATAGAAAGGAAATTGAAGCTTCGAGTTGACCCATAAAACTCCCTGATGTTAACAGCAACCCCCCTGATTTCACCCGCAGACATCTTGTTTTGCAGCAGCCTTTACTTGACTCATCTACACCTGCCCACTTCAGTCCTGTGGCCGGCAAAAAACCCTCCCACCTCCTTTAACCACAGCCTTCCACACAAGGGTCTCTGCCGTCAGCTCCCAGACTCTGCATGACTCACCCGCTCTGCATCTCTGCAGATATTTCCCTGAGCTTTTTAGCTTGGCAAGACAAGTCTGTCACACCATTGAAAAAAAAAATAAAATAAAAAGGCGGCTAAATGTGGTTATATGATGACAGCAATCAGATCTTCAGCGTTGGGATGGGATCCAGCATCTCTGTGGGACAGTTCAGTACATGCTGTGCCTCCCTGCTTGGACCTGGCTGCCTGGCTGCCTGCCTGAAGAAGCCTGGGCAACACAGAAAAGATCACACAGAGCCCAACCTCCCCCACTCCCTGTTCTATCAGCGTCAAGACCCCCCCAAACAGATGTTTCCCTCTGCAAGGAAATGCAGTGCTAGCTTCACTATCAGGCTGGAAATCAAGACAGTGGTTAGTGAAATTATTTTCCCAACGTCACAATGAAAGCTGCAGATCACGCTTGCCTCACTCTCCTGAAAGCCCAGTTGGGTGCTATCTTCAGTACACTGCTCCTCTCATCTTCTGCAATTGCATCTGCAGTCATGGCAGTCATGGTCTGGGTCTGCTGACCTCTCCAGCACTACGTCAGTGTAGGTATCCTGTCCCCATAAATGTTTGAAGAGGATGCGCTTTCTTTAATGCCTTCCCTGCCAGGAGCAGCTAATGAAGGTAGCACCTAATGAGCAATAGGCAAACTCAGCCTCAGAGGTACAGAAGATGCTTGGTACAAAAATGAACATCAACTGTCAGGAGATGTCCTCTGGACAACATCCCAAGGAGTAAGTTCCTTCAGGGTCTCAATTTGCTATGTGCTTTAAAACAAAAGGTTTGCCCTACTTACTTCTTGAAGTTTGTGGTTGAGAGTTTTCCAACATAAATCCAAAGGATTTCTGGTTGGCATGTTGGTTAATAACCAGAAAGTAAGCACGGGAATATGCTTACCTTATCTTTTCCTAATGCTACTGATAATTGCTCAGCAGGTCCAGAAACCAGGCACTGCACTGACTTTATCTCACGAGCTAACTCACCAGTCAATGTCTGGATCTGCACTAGTTGATTGTCCTGCATACTACTGCAACCAGGAACTGGTTTGAGAGCTGAAGGAAACTAATCTCTAGGCAGTTGAATCTGCAAAACGAATAAACTCATTAAACTCATCAATTTTCTGGAAACGACTTATGGCTCAGTTGCTACAATCACCAGCATTATCCCAGTCAGGTAGTTTGTGAATCTCTGTAGGGGAAAGGGAAAATCACCATTTAGACTGAGAACAGTCAGGACTAGATTGTTCATGGGCTTGGCAACCAGATCACAAAAGCTTTCGCCTCCACTTGAAATTCATCCTTGCTGTATAGCGGCTATGAAGGGTAATGCTCCAGTTAGTGTTCCGTGGTATTTGTATAGTTTACTACCCACACAGAAAAATTCAGGGGATATTCTATCTGTGACTGCTCTGAATCCTGAAAGGTGATGGCTTTATGAAGGGGGGTTCCTTGTGACAATTCCAACTTATGACTATTTTCCTGCTCTTAAGCATAATACAGACTTTTCTATTTACGCTTCTGTAGGTTCAGAGCCTCTATACCATGTCTGCAGGCAGCACATCTGGAGTGTTGCCCAAGACGGCAACGTTCTTTGGAATACAGAAGATATTTTTCATTTAAAGGCTGATTAGTTTGTGCTGATCACAAACAAGAAGCTCTTCCCACAGGGCTTTGCGGACCTTCTGTGTTGCGTCGTGTCACAGTGAAGCCACCAGTGGCTTGGCCACGGGGCTGGGAGGTCTTGGAGAGGGACTGTCTTTGCGGCTCAAAGGAAGCTGGGTTTAACCTGACTTTCACATGACCCTCCTCTGTGCCTCAGAGGTTTTGTGTATTCATTGACCCAAATGTATTCAGTGGAAATGATACTTCCTTTTGTGAGATGAGGTGACTCGAGGCCTATGTGGCCATTAGTGATGTGAGTCAGGTGCCGGTGAAGCAGCTGAGGCTCTGCCTGGGATATTTGGCGGGATTAGCACCAGCTCAAGGGATAGGCAAAGCAGGCAGTCACCCAGGGGAGCAAGCTGCCGAGAGT